GGGCGGGAAAGGGGGAGCTGGCCAGCCGGACGATGGAGGGGGAGCGGCAGGGGGCGCCAGAGGAGCGAGGCGAGGGGTGGAGGTGGGCAGGGGAGCGGGACGGGGAAGGGGAGAGGAGGCGGCGGCGCACATGGACGGGGGCAAAGGGAGACCACGGGGAGGCCAAATCGAGCAGATGCCCCCTCCGTGGGGCCTAGGGCACGGGGTTGGTCCACCTAGATTGGGCCGGCGGGGAGGGGGCGGGGAGGGGCGCCGGCGGCGCGGAGGCAGAGGCGGCGGAGGGGCCCGCGAAGGCGCCAGCGGAGTCGCCCATCCTACTGCCATGCACTACATTCAAACCTTCCTTTTCAAAAACGATTACCCTAAAAATACATATAACGTATACTTTTTTCCCATCTTCTGCTTTGAACTAACATCTGTGGCCGGTGCGGCAATGACAATCTGTCGATCAGACCCTGTATTTGAATCATAAGCAACGCAAAAACACAAATGCTTCTTTTGGACATTCCGATTGGTCATCTAGATCGTTTGCTTCCACAGCACCCGGCAGGCGACAATGTTTTGGACAAAATTCTACGTGTTCCGGGAGTCGATGAGCATCGATGAACATGAAGGCAGTATCGCAAACAGTCAGTCTTGCCGTCCGCAAGGCAGCAGGCCTAGGACGGAACGCCAACAAGAAAAACCAGCCTGCACTGCAGGCTGCAGTGACGCATTTCCAAGCCCAAACAGTACCGCCGGCGGCATCTTTGCCTGCCTCCGGATCGATCATCGATGCTGCCGTCCCGCGCCATGACTCGTCGCCCTCGTAGACTCTCGGCTCGGCTCTCGTAGGTGCGATCCCTCCGATCCCTCGATTCGCAAGGTGGTTGACTTGGGTTGGGGGAGCACGACCCGGACATACCACCAACACTACCACTTGTGAAGATCGACTTGTGAAGTGCGAACAGGATTACTCGGTATTCCAAGACCTCGCATACACGTTGCGTCCCACCACACGAGATCCAGATTATATATAAACCCACTCCCTCCACTGTCATTTCGGAGCATCAACAACAACACTAGTCCAGTAATCCAGCCAGTAGCCTCCCCGTCTCCTCGCCTCCCCTGTGACCTGAGAATGTGCTTCGAGTTCGGCTCGTGTTTCCGCGGCGGCAGGACGGACGACTTCGGCGGCGACACATGTTCTTGCTCCAGCAAGCTTTTACCAGTCTGTTTCTGTACCCGCTTGCAGTTTAGCTGTGCCTGCTTTCTTCTTGTATCATATAATCAAGTGAAAAGAAGCATTGTGAAACTTATATGAGTCCACATCTCTGCTCTTGGTATTCCAGGCTTCGCTGTGTGTTTAGCGGTCAGTAAATTGATACTCCCTCCGATAGTCCTATTCATATTAATTGTCGCTGATACCTGAATCAAACTTGTGTACAATAAGTGTGTACACTGGTTGTTCTCCTCCAAGGTTTTGGTTACCAAATGAGGTAATTTTACCGAGGGGGACTGATAAATGTGGTTACCACGGTTACCGAGAAATACCGACAAATACCGAGAATATTTCGAGCGAATTTTATATTTGAATTTTGAATTCAAATAAGAAAATGAACGAATATTCAAACCAGAGACCTCTCAGAACAGGAACTAGGTTGCTACCAACCTGCCATAACCAACTTTCATTGCATTAATTAAACCCTACATACCTTACTGTAAATCGAGTGTTTAAATTCAAAAATTTCAAAAAAATGGTATTTTTTGCTCGGTATGACGATTTACCGAGGGGCACGGAAATACGTGGTAACCATGGGAAATCTTGAAATTTCGACTGGTAACCAAAACCTTGTTCTCCTCTACATCCATTCGCCATTCTGAAGCACTCAAACCACAAAGTTTTACAAGGGCAGAGAACATCATTTTTTTGGTTTTGGCGCCTCATCTACTGCTTGGAATACTGAGTTTGTCCATAGAAATGTTGGCCCTGATATCCGTTCGAAGAAACCAGAATTTCCTACGAAGTCTCGAATACAAATCTTTATAACCATGTGCTTTCCCTTTTATATTCCATGACAAGTGGCACATATGCTTCTGACACCATGTTTGTTGCTTTTTTTCTGGAGGGTGATGACGTCATGTATGCACTGAAGATGAAAATATGAAATAAATAGGGAAGCCTCATTCTATTATAATAAAATGATCCAACGGTGTGATTGTGAATATATGCATTTATGTGTCCTCAGCGAAAAAAAACAAGCATTTCAGCTCACTACAGGATCAATATATATTTAAAAATTTGTTCTTTTTGTACAGGACACATGCAGTCATATTTTTTCAATCCCTCCGTTGGATCATGTTATATTATAGGTGTGTTGGTTTAGTATTTTTTTCAGGAGTTTTGAGAACTTTTACACCGTCGAAAACCTTAACTAGTTCTGTGGCAAGCTATTGTAGAAAATCCTACTCCTATATATATATATATATATATATATATATATATATATATATATATATATATATTTGCTATGAAAGTTGTTGGATTTAAAAAAAAGAAAAAAAAAAGAGGCAATGCATCTTCTTTGCCGTCCGCCGCTGATGGCAAAGGACTCTTTGCCGTCCGCCGCGGACGGCAAAGAAGACACGTGGTGGCCACCTGTGTTCCCTGGGAGCTGATCCATTTGGCCAGTTTGCCTACAGTGGCAGACGGCAAAGGATCACCACATTTGCCTACAGTGGCGGACGGCAAAGCCTAGGTGGTTAGTGACGTCCAGCTGACGTCACACGGCGGACGGCAAAGGCCAGATAATTTTTGCCGTCAGCAGTTGACGGCAAAGGCTGCCGTTAGCCATCTAACGGACTAACAGCGTATTTATTGCCGTCAGCTTTCTTTGCCGTCCGCGGCTTATGGCAAAGGACCCTTTGCCGTCAGCCTCAGAAAGCAGACCGCAAAGTAGCTCTTTGCCGATCCTTACTTTGCCGGAGCCTTTTGCCGTCCGCGGCAGACGACAAAGGCCTTTGCCGTCCGTCGTTCCTGCCTTTGCCGTCCACCCCGACTGACGGCAAAGTAGCTGATTCCTGTAGTGGGGAAGTCTTCATCATCAATGATTGTTAAGGCATGAGCAACATAAACATGTCCAAATGCGAAAAATAAATATCATGTGGCAGTGTCACCAAACTTGGTTACTTTCTGGCTTTAAGGTGGACACCCCACATGTCTCATTTCTGGCTAATGGTTATTTTCTAAAAGAAAGCAATTGAGCAAGTGAAGAAATTGTTGGTCTTTTTCTGAACTATATTAAAAGAAATTACTATGTGGTCTGGCCATGGTTAGTGACCCTTGCCCTGGCTGAAATTCACTAATTGTACTCTACTGCTACAAAATTCTGGAAGTGCTCTTTAATTAACTCATTCCTTGGTAATAAATGTCAATGTGTTGTTTCCTCATGAAGCATTCTACTGTTGTTTTCCCGATAAGAAACGAGACGAAGAATATTATCAAGCACACTTCTCATACAATAATTTTGAAACACCAGTATTTAAAGCCATAAAGGAAATCTTTGGCAAAAAAATTAAATTACATTACGATAAGCTACCCTAACATAATAGATAGTTAATAAATATAAGATATGCCACTGGTTCTGACATTTACTAATACGTTGGTCCAATAAAATATTAATCAATGCATAAATGTTCTAGAATAGCATAATGACTTCATAAATTAGAGATACACTTAGAACGTATTTGCGTGGCCTGGTGGCGGTAGTGGCGTATATCACCTATTTGAAAACTTTCATGCTCGCACAGAAAAATTAGAAGGTGTGCAGAACACGAACACACCATGTTCAATATCATATAATACAAAAAATTGATGAGGTCTCACCACAT